CATTCAGGGATGAAGATGTGCACATCCTTGATAGAGAGGAACGTTGGCTTGAGAGAGGAGTAAAGGAAGCCATCTTTGTGAAAAGTAACTGTCCATCATTAAACATGTGTACTGTTTGTGAACTGGTGTAATATGTTCAGACCTATGAGTTCCAGTTAAAAGCCGAGCAGCAGCATTCTGGACGAGCTGAAGACCTGAGATGGAGGCCTGGCTGATCCCAGCATGCAGTGCATTGCAATAGTCCAATTGGTTTGTGACAAAGGCGTGGACTAGTTTCTAAAGGTCGGGTCTGGACAACACTGGCTTGAGCTTAGCTACCTGTCTGAGTTGGAAGAAGCTTTTCTGCAGAGCAGAGGTGATTTGTTTGTCAAACTTGAAGTCAGAGTCTAAATCATCCCGAGATTTTTACCAGACAGCTTCAGATATGAATGTAATGTATACATGTATTACTGTCTCCAGGTTATTTTTGGACAATATGGGCTTCAGTTTAGACAGCCGCCTCAGTTGGAAGAAACATGATTTAACAATCATGTTTACATGATTGTTAAGTTTCAGGGAAGGGTCCATTATCACTCCCAGATTAGTGACTCTTTGTTTTTCTGACAGGGTTAGAGCGGAGAGGTTGATGCAGTGGTTTGTGATCGTGTCATTGGGAGGGAACAACATGACTTCAGACTTCTTTTCATTGAAACTTAAGAAGTTTAAAGCCATCCAGTCCCTAATGTCAGCCAGGCAGTCAAGCAGAGGTTGACTAGAGCATGTGCCATTGTGTCTTAGGGGGAAGTAAATTAGACAGTCATCGGCATAGAAGTGGAAGGGCATGTTGTGTTTCCGTAAAATATCACCAAGCGGCAGCAGGTATAAAGAGAATAGGAGAGGACCCAGGATTGACCCCTGCGGAACCCTCCATTTAAGCTCTGCCGCTGCAGAGCTAAAATCTTTGATGGAGACACAAAAGGATCTGTCAGTGAGGTAAGATCTGAACCAATTGAGGGCTGACCTTGTGACGCCCACCCACTGCTCTAACCTAGCAATGAGGATATCATGGTCGATGGTGTCAAAGGCGGCTGTGAGGTCCAACAGGACAAGCAGCACAGAATCACCGGTATCAGTGGTTAAGAAAATGTCATTAAAGACCTTCAGCAGGGCAGTTTCAGTGCTATGGAGAGGTTTAAAGCCAGATTGGAATAGCTCTAAGATGGCGTGATCCTCCAGGAAGCACTTCAACTGGGACTCAACTATTTTCTCCAGTAGTTTAGAAACAAATGGGAGTTTGGAGACAGGCCGGAAGTTGGACACGACTGAAGGGTCAAGATTTGGTTTTTTCAGGAGAGGCTGGACAGCATCATGTTTAAAGGATTTTGGCACCACGCCAGTGGATAAACAACTGTTTACTATAGTAAGAATGGACGGACCTAGAGTAGGAAACACCTCCTTTAGTAGTCGAGGGGGGACCACATCAAAGGGGGAACCAGAAGGTTTCAAGTTGCACATGACCTGCTCTAGAGAAGATAGAGTGATGGGTTCAAAATGGTCAAATAGAGCTACAGATTGAGGTGGGATGGATGGGTCATGAGTTGGAGGGGAAAAGAGAGCCTGAGTGGTCGCAAGTTTTTCCAAAAAGAAATGTAAGAAGTTGTCGCACAGCTCAGTCGAGGCTTCCAAAGGTGATGGTTCAGTGAGGTGGAGAACAGAGTTTAGGGTGGAGAAGAGGACACGTGGGTTGCGAGAGTTTGAGGTAATTATATCAGAGAAGTATTTGGATTTAGCAGCTTTCACTGCTTTCTGATAACGGCACCAATTCTCTTTAAGTATTTGAAAAGAGACCTGCAGCCTGTCTTTCCTCCACTTGCGCTCCGCCCTCCTACATATGACATACATCATAGATTCACACACAGTACAGACATATATAAGCAATTATTATCAATACATTAAAATGTATACAGCCGCATCAAAAACAAATGAAAAAATAGGAATAGTTTTTATAGTCCCAGAATTTCAAATAAAAATAGGAAACATAAACACTTATCAGTATATACAGGAGAGATGTTAGCAGTTCTATTAGCAGTGCAGTGGGTGGAGGAAATTAAACCATTAAGGACAGTGATCTGTTCAGGTTCAAGCTCCACATTATTGAGTTTGAAACACAATCATTCACACAGCAGGCCAGACATTACTAAAAATACTCCACACATTAATCAGAACACAAAGGATGGGATTAATAGTAACATTTTTATGGGTACCAGCACACATTGGGATAGAAGGAAACAAGATGGCAGATAAGATGGCAAAGAAGGCAACTCAAAATCATATTAACTTTACAGTAGATACAAGTAAATCAGAGACATAAAGTATCATGAAAACAAAAGCTGAAAAAAGAATGGCAGAAAAGATGGGATGAAGAAAGAAAAGGAAGATGGTTTCATAGGATAAAAAAAAACAGTAGGAGAAACAAGAACTGGAAGAAGGAGCAGGAAGGAGGAACGATTAATAACAAGATTGAGATTTGGACATACAGGGCTCAACTATTCACTATTTCAAATACAGCAACACAATACAGGAAAATGTGAGCACTGTGGACAGGATGAAACAATACAACATGTTATACTGGAATGTCAGAAATATCAGCAGGAACGAAGATACTGAAGAGAGAGTTTGAAAAGATAAAAGAAAAGTTTAACATACTAGATGCACTACAACCCAACTTAGAGAGCAAGCATATACAAATTATGATTAAATATTTGAAGAAAACAAAATTGATTAATAGGATTTGAAATACATATAGTTATTCGTGCATACACAGAATGCTGAACACCACGATTAACTACACTCCGTACCAGTGGTGGCAGTAATGCACTTCTACCGGGTTTTTTTTTTTACATCCGCAAATAAACTCAACACGAAGAAGAGTCTCTTACGTCACTTTCCGGCGACGTTTAGTTCAAGCATTTCCTCGTGGAAACGGATTTGGCTAAACCTCTTCAAAATTTGAAGTAAATTGTATGTATATGTATACATATATCTATATGGTTTTAAACTATTTGTGTATTTACTGTTTGTGTTCCGACTTTATAAATAATACTCAGCTGGGTGGAAGTTGTTGGAGTTCTTGCGTCCCTTCCTTCCACGACAAGGTCAGGGTTTGCTGTTGCATGACAGGAACTCGGGCTTCTATCTGACCGGCTCTTTCAATACAATCACGGTAAATCGTGTCAAAGAGAGTTATAATAGGGTGTGCTCAGAGCTTCATGAAGTTATGACATTGTGTGTGTCAAATAAGTGTCTGCAAGTTGCACAATTTACATGTTATTTAATGAATCGCTGATCTAATGTTATCGTGTGTGGGTTCGGTTCGTTCTGTCTTTCAGCAAAGTATCTCATGAACCAGTGGACGGACTTTAATGAAATTCTCAAAGTATTCATCGGATGTATATAAAACCTTTGAAGACGAGGTAATTCTAGAAGGTCGCAACTCGTTACAAAGACACAGATAGCTGTAGCGCAAACTAGTTTTAGCTCCATTTCGGTGTGTTTGCGACTCCTCAACGACGCATACTCCGAGAATTCACTGATCATACAAGATCTGTTGTGTTCCCGTCAAGTATCTGGCTCTTTTGACAAAATATCTCATGAAGAACAGGATGGATTTTATTGAACCTTTTATGTAATCATTGGATGTACATTTACAACTGATTAACTATTTAAGTCAACCTGATTCAAGATGGTCACAACAGCTGGCATTAGTCAACACACAAAAAAGCTCTAACTCAATCAGTTTGATTGATTTTTAGCTCATATTTGTTGTGGTAGTAGATAGAAAGTATATATTCTCTACACATCCTCCAAGTGCTGCCCTTTGTGCTACATATTTTGTTTAAGCTCAGTTTAACTTTTAGCATCAGTGCTGTCTATGAGATCTGGACAGACTTGTGAAACTCAAGGTGGACTTGTACTTCACTAAATGTAAGAATCTGATCTCGCTGACCTGGTTGTGTGATGTTCTTTTTGTATGGACATTTTATAATCGAAAGAAACTGCAGGGGAGAAGTCCTAGTAATGTCTTCCACTGCAGAGCATGTCGCGCACAAACGAAAACACGACAACCAAGTTGGCAGAATGGATGTTTATTTTTGGTTGATGATGGAGGAGGAAAATCTGTTTTTTTATGTTAACAGGGAATTTGTCACAAAGAGACTGTTGGATAATTTAATTATCCTATCATCATCTCATTAATCAAATAAGCCACACAGAGAATGTGAGAAGATCGTTTCAACCCAGGTTTACTTCTTACAAGGGGTGCAGCATTAAAAACGGGCTTACAACGATGTTATGCGAAGCTCTGGTCCAAGATCTGCACACAGTCAAAGAGTTAGGAAAAGCTTTAATACCGGTACCTGTTATCAGACAGAGGCAACCTCTGCTTCACAGCTCACAGTTTTTGAAGGCGTCAGAAGTTATCAGTTATCAGGCTCCTCTCTTGAGTAGACAAAAATACTCCCTTGACTTCACAGACATGGTTCTATATTAATTTAACATTAATAAGCAAAAACATCCATGACCTCCCATAACTTCCCCCAACACAGACTGCAAATGTTGTGCAATCTTCTTCCACCAGTTCTTTGACTATTTTTATAAAGTTTTTTCTTTACTGCTTTCTAAGTTTAGCAGGAATCTTTGTAAAGATGGCTGTATTTTCTAATAACTTCAGCCAGCCACTTCTCAATGGAACGGTTGACGCGAAATGAGAGAAGCATACTGCAGCCACTTTTCTGCATAAACATGTCCACAGAGCTGTGACCAGACACACAGTACTTGGCATGTACTCGTGCAAGACAATAGTTCTGATGGAAGATTGTCCAAAGAACAGCTTCTCAGAGGCATGGCTAGAACAAAAATGTGTAATTTTTGTCATCCAACCTCATAGGTGAGAAATGATTTTGGCACTACGGATGAAGTATAAATCAGCTTTGAGAAATTAGGCATTGGGTGTGATACCTCATTAACTTTTATTCAGCCCAATTGAAGGTGGCCACTACAGCTAATGGACCTTAGTTAACACAGAAATGGCTGTCACTTTGTTAATGTACAGAAACTAAGCTGATTTTTGTGTGGTAGTAGGTAAAAGTCATATTCAACAACATGCACTTTGAAAGCTAACATGTCTTGCTAGAGATTGTAAGATCGCACGTCATTTTTTACATAGTTTGACCCATACAGCTATAACTCCATTCTCATTTTTTTCATTCAACCTTTATTTAAACAGGTAAATCCCATTGAGCCTCGAGGACTCATTTACAAGAGAGACCTGATTTCAACAAAGAATGACGACAACAATGGACAACAGTGACAACAATAAACAGTTATAAAAAGTCACTCCAGTTTTATTTTTATTTTTTTAAACAAATAGGATGGCTAAAAAAAGTAAAAAAAAAAAATAAATAAATAAAAATAAAAAACAGCTAGATTCTAAGGCGAATGTAGAAAACTAAAAACAGGAACATGTCTGCATTGGTCCCTGCCAGGAGTCCAACACTCTGGCTTGAAAGACAGTGAGTGATATGCAGTCCTTTTAATTATGATGACGCTACTTTGGCTTTTCAACATTTTCTTGAAACAATGTCTAATGCAGACCTCTGTCTTTCACAGATTCAGTGTATGGAATGGTGACGATGGCTTCTGAACTGTGAGAAACGTCCTGTCTGCTCCTGTCCTGCCTGAGGCCACCGTCTCTTAGTCCAAATGGCCAATCGTCTGTTGGGCAGATGTGCCAGCTTGTTTTGCAGGTCTTCTTCTCAGGCTCCAGCAGCTACTGCTGCTATTCGCCTGCCTCCATCTGTGGCTGGACCAGCACCTGTGTCAAAGGCTAAACACTGGCTGTGGGTCACAGAGAGATTAATGAGCGAAAGTATAGTACCCAAAGATGAGTCATTTCCACATATTCCGACATTCACCCAGCTAGACGAGCTGCTGGAAAAGGCGACGGCACCAGAAGACGTCCTGTCTGCATGGGAAAAGTATGGAGAAAATTCTGTTCAAGCTGCTACTGCTTTAATGAAGTGGACTCAGTTGATGCTAAAGACAAAGGGGAAGTTTACGGGGCAAGAATCAGAACTGTCAGATTCAAGGCTTCAGGATATGATGAACACCTTAAATCAACATGTGAGGAAGCTTTATTAAAAAGAACAAATAAACCTTTAGAATTATCATGCAAGATACTTTACCTCTTATCACTTTATTTTTTTTTACGCCCTTCATGTCCGTTTTTGTTATTTGCTCCAGGTGGCATCAGTGTGGAACAGGCACCTGGTGAGTGTGTTAAAAACGTTCTGGACCATGAAGATTCCCTCCACCAATCCAATACTCAGATCTGTGCACACAGAGGTGCTGTGGAGGATACGTAGACTATCTTCCAAGCATCTGGGCATGCTGGTAGACTGGGGAGCAGCCAGAGAAGGACCACAGGACGTGACGTTGGTGAACTCTGCCTTAAAACAACTGGAGCTGCGCTGGACTGAGATCACTGATGCTAAAACTGTCAGGTTGATGATATTAAGAGGAGAACGCCTGTCACCTTCTTTGATGGACAGACTTGAAGACAAGGTACCAGAGTTAAAACAGTCATCAATGTTTAACTCGAAGTGTGAGTGTGTGAAACAAACCATTAGTAGAATGTACGTATTATCAATCTGACTGCATATAGTTGTAATATATCTCAAAATTATAGCAAAACAATTATTTTGGTGGACACATCTAATTGAGGCTCAGTAAATGCGAGTTGGAGCTATCAGTTTGTGAACTGATGTGAATGAGAATCTTTTTGTTTATTTTAAAGGCTTTGGAACTCGCGGAGAGCTTTTCAGCTGAAGACATTCGCAAAGTCAGCATATCTTTGGCAACTCAGAATCGCAGAAGTGTCCCGCTGCTCAGAGCTATGTCCTACCACCTCACCCAGAAGCCATCAGTGGAGTTCACAACTCCACTAATAATGGACATGGCCTTTGCTTACGGTAGTGTCTCAAGATTAAACGCTGCCCATTTGTAACAGTGGTGGTTACTTAAAAAAACAAGTGTTTTGACCCAATAAATAAAGCTATCTACAAAATTCACCCATAGATCAGAACATAGTAGACTGTGTAATGATAACAGTTTTTTTTGTTTGTTTGTTTCCTGTAGGGAAACTGAACTTCAATAATTCTCAGCTTTTTCAACGAATGTCCTGTGAGTTGTTGCCCAGAGTTCCTCAACTCAGCCCAACTGATGTCACACGCTATGCGAAGTCAATGGGTTTCCTCAAATGGCTCCACATTCCACTCTTTGAGGCCTTTGCTGAGGTAACTTTCTTTGCTTCAGTTACTTTAAAATGTTTCATCTATGATCTCAGGTGAACAGTTCTTTGTTTTCCCTCTCACTCATTGTGTGTTTCTTCACCAGCACTACATTGCAAAGAGTCAAACGTACAGCACTTCCCAGCTTTGCAATCTGCTCATGACTTTTGCCAGACTGGGCTTCCAGCCCAACAAAGGAGAGGAGTTTTATAGCAAGGTAATAATGAAATCAAGCACTGTTTGGTGATTGTATAGAGCTGGTTCTACTGATGTCTGTCCTACTTTGCTTGAAGGTTCACATTGTGCTGGAGGAGTCGCTCACAAGTGTGGAGCCTTTTCTGCAAACAGATGTTGCCTGGTCTCTGTGTGTGCTACAGCAAGCTAAACCCCATTATCTCACTCCACTTTGTCACCAAAGTCATTTGACCAAACTGTCACGTAAGACTCAGCCTTATGTGCTTTTTTTGTCATCTTGTGTTATTGTTGTAGGTAAAAATTGAAAGTGTAAATATGCACAATCACAGTTTATGTCCGTGCAGTTAAGCTTATCCACATCACAAAATACTCTTAAGAAGAGAGACAGACAGATCATCCTCTTTTTTTTTTCCAACCTTTATTTGTACAGGTTAGTCCCATTAAGCCTCGAGGACTCATTTACAAGAGAGACCTGATTTCTTTAACTAAGAGTGATACCATACCATACCACTTTATTTATAGAGCACTTAAAACAGCAACAAGGCCAACCAAAGTGCTGTACAGACAGAACAACAGGTAACACACAAAGCAAAATACAAAATGAGGTAAATCAGAACAACAGTTGTGTGTAGGGCTGCAACTAACGATTATTTCAATAATCGATCCATCGTCCGATTATTTTTTCGATTAATCGATGAAGCGGCAAAAAAAAAAAAAGTTTTAATTTCCACCCCTTTATTCCAAAATTGAACATTTTACTGACAAAGAAATTCGCACAAAAAACAGGTTGCTATTTGACTATTCTGTTAGTAAAATATTGAATAATAAAAAATAAAAGTTAGTCAAATAGCTTAAAAAAATAAATGTACACAATTGGGCTGCAACAACGAATCGATAAAAATCGATGATTAAAAGCGTTGGCAACGAATTTCGTTATCGATTCGTTGTGTCGCGCGATTATGCATCTTTCACGGCGCTGCGGAGCCGTTTCGTTTTGTTCACGGGCAGTTCATTGTCAATGCGGACTGACTGAATAAAGTTTGGGAAAAAAAAAACTGCAGCGCGAGTTGAACAGAGCGAGGGGGGAGGAGGAAGCAAAGCAGTGGCGGTGTTTTTAAAGGAAATTTAAGTAAATTTTACAAATGACCGACGCAGCGAAAACTGTTTGACCCAAGTCCTCCAAAGTGTGGGAGAACTTCACAAAGATAAAAAATGAGAAACATGCCGCTTTGAAAATCGCTGACACGACACGGGAGAACCACGCTGATAAACGTAAACATGTCAGAGTCACGAGGAGGAGGAAGGAGCTGCAGCTGATACAACATGTCTCACTCCCAACTCGTGTTGCAGGTGAGTCTCTACAATTTAGCACATTGTTCTGTTTCAAGAGAGAAAATGTAACGTCAGTCTGTCTGGGAGATGAAGCTGTTTGTTTGTTTGTTTATCTGATTAATGGTGGTGATAGAGAATGTGTGTGTTACTTTTTATTTTATTTAATTGGTACAAGCAGTGTTTAAATGTGATTTATAAATAAATCTAACACAAAGATTAAAATAATTTAATGATTAAGCTTCAACTTTAATTTGTTGGCAAAGTCTGAAGACACTGCAGGTATGGCAGGATGAATTGCATTTAAACAGGAATTAAAGTAATTTATTACATCTACTCAAATGTGTGTAATTAAGTATTTTTTATATATATATATGTGTGTGTGTGTGTGTGTGTGTTTAATTGCTCTTTTAGCTACTTTTGCCTGAACCTAACGCTGTAAATAAAACAAGGCATTTCTTGAGATGATGTAAATTATGCTATAATAAATATTTACTCTCTCATTCCAGAAAACAACAACAAACAACAACATCCTGCATGATGGACAGACATCATGGACACCACAGCAGCAGCTGTCTTTACTGAAACATCCTGAACATTATCATCACTGACATGAGGCCTCTGTCGATGGTTGAAGACGAAAGCTTCACTACAATGATCCACACTTTTAATCCAGGTTACAATAATCCACACTTTTAATCCAG